CAAGGTGCAAAAAAGTGCAAAAATGGGGGAAATGCTCACCCTTGAAGACCCTCTTCGAAACCAGCAACTTCAGGGGGTGGAAACCAGTTTTCAAAGCTTAAGAATCCTTCCCAAGAAGCTTAATCCAATGGTGGTGGTGTATCTCTATGGGTTGTAGTGTAAAAGTGCAAGGAAATCCAACTTCAAAGCACAAAACACACACAATATAGAGAGAAAGAGAATTTTTCTCTTCAAAGTTGCAGAACCCCTGGCTAAGGAAGAGGATTCTTCCTTATATAGAGGAAAGAAAAGCCAAAGCTTCTTCAAGAAGCTTTGCAAGGCTTCCATCCCTCCATACACGTGTATGGAGGGGAGCAAATGAAAATTCAGCTGGCTCAAAAGATCTGGAGGAAAACCAGCTGAGATAGGGGGGTGCCGGCCATCAGCAATGGCCGACGATGGCTCATTAATGGCCGGAAGGGCCTCATCAATGGCCGGCAGGAACAAGGCCATGGCCGGCAGTGTCAAGCCATGGCCGGCAGTGCACCACAGGGTCCACTCTGAAAGGACCTAGCCAAGGTCCAAAAATGGGGGCAGAAAGGATACAGGGTCCGAAAAGCTCGAACCGGTGACGTTCCGCCGCGATAGTCGAGTACTCAGTGAGCAATCGAACTAGTTGTTGGGTGTACCTGCAAGCACAACCAAGTCTCGAGGACGGTAAAAAATGGGGTGTCTACAGTTGTCCCTCTTTGACAGAACTCAACAGTCACAAAGTGACGGGGGTGAGTGTCAAAGTCTAAAGACGACCCATTTTTGACAAGGCCGAAGACTCAGACAATCAATCAATATAGGCACGCGGAAATGCGCCCGGAGGCTGGGGCATAATGCAAATGATATGCAAGATGCAAGAGCATGACTAGTAATCATGCAAAGAAAGCTATAACGAAGCACATACAATGCAACAGTTTTAAGCAAGTAGAAACCAAGCTACATTACAATGCAGAAAGGATGTAAGAGAATTATTGCAATTCTCATTGCGAATACAGTGTGCATGTGTGATAGATACACGAAGCGAACGTGTGTGATGGATACACAAAGTGAATGTGTGTTAAAAACACAAAGCGAAAGTGTGATGGATACACTAAAGTGAACATGTGATGGATACACAAGGCGTACGTGTGGTGGATACACAAAGCGAACGTGTGATGGATACACAAAGCGAGCGTGTGATGGATACACAAAGTAAACGTGTGATGGATACACAAAGCGAGCGTGTGATAGATACACTAAGTAAACGTGTGATGGATACACAAAGCGAACATGTGTGATGGATACACAAAGTGAATGTGTGTTAAAAACACAAAGCGAAAGTGTGATGGATACACTAAAGTGAACATGTGATAGATACACAAGGCGTGCGTGTATTGGATACACAAAGCGAACGTGTGATGGATACACAAAGCGAGCGTGGGATGGATACACAAAGTAAACGTGTGATGGATACACTAAAGGTGAACACAAAGTGTGATAGATGCACTATGTGAACAAGTGTGATGGATACACAAAAGGTGAACACGAAGTGTGATAGATGCACTTAGTGAGCAAAGTGTGATAGATACACAAAAGGTGAACACGAAGTGTGATAGATGCACTTAGTGAACAAGTATGATGGATATACTAAATGTAAACACGAAGTGTGATAGATGCACTTAGTGAACAAGTATGATGGATATACTAAAGGTGAACACGAAGTGTGATAGATGCACTTAGTGAACAAAACTTTTGATATCCTTCAGAGATACAAAATGAATCTTAATGCCTCAAAGTGCGCATTGGCGTTGGTTTCGGCAAATTTGTTAGCTACATTGTCAATCATCATGGGATAAGAGCTAATCCCAAACAGATTAAGGCTATTATGGAACTCGGCTCTCTTGGATCCATCAAGGAAGTTCAAAAGTTAATGGGCATGGCTGTAACACTCAACAGATTTATCAGCCAATCTTCCAATTGATGTAGGCCATCTATTCAAGTGGACTTCGGAATGTCAATTTTCTTTGGAAAGATTGAAAACTTACCTTGGCTCCATCCCTCTTCTATCTACTCCAATGTCAGGTGATACTCTTAGCCTTTACTTAGCAGTATCCGGCCATGCTTTAAGCGTCATCCTTCTTCGTGACGAACTCGGCGAGCAGAAACATATTTTTTATGTGAACAAGTTCATGGTTAATGCTAAAACGCAGTATTTGCCCCTAGAGAAATTTATTCTAGCCCTTGTGGTGGCCGTTAAGAAGCTAATGCATTACTTTCAAGTGTACATCATTACGGTATTAACATATCACCCCCTTCGTTCAGTCCTTCGCCGAGCAAAGTCTTCTGGGAAAGTCTCCAAGTGGGCATTGGAACTTAGACAGTATGATCTCCAAATTCTCACCACAAACAGCCATCAAATGATAGGTTCTTGCCAACTTCATTGCCGATTTTATCAGGCCAGTAGACGATGCCGAGATTATCTTACCAGACCAATCAGTTCCCTAACCTTAACTAGAATGGCGAATGTATGTAAGAGATATCTAGCAATTGCATTGTGACGGATCGTCCAACCAACGATGTAGTAGGATAGGAGTTATTATCATGACCTCTAAGGGGGCAGTAATGGAACAGTCGATCAAACTTGGCTTTGATGCTTCTAATAATGAGGCCAAATACGAAGCCCTCATTGTCGGCCTTCGCAGTTCACTTTAGATGGGAGCCAAGTTCCTGCATGTATTTTATGACTCAAAACTAGTTATTAACCAACTAAACGGAGAATATGTAGCTAAGAACGATCTCATGGCAGCCTATGTGAGGGTAACTAAGTCTTTGCTAGACAAATTTAATAGTCATGAGTACAATCAAATTGCTCGCGATCAAAATACTCACGCTGATGCTTTGGCCTATTTAGCCTCAACCGTCAATTCAAAATTTAAACAAACCATTGAAATGGGTTTCAATCCCGAGCTGAGTATCGATATCCCCAAAGTGGATCCTATTGTGCATATTATTCATAGGGGACCGAGTTAGATGGATCCTATTGCTGCGTTCTTAACTTTTGAGCAATTACCAGAGGATAAAAAAGAAGCCCACAAGCTCTGAAACAAGACCTTGAGGTATTATTTAGCTCCTAAGGGAAAAATGTACAAAAAATATCTTTCGCGACCCTACTTAGAGTGTGTCTATCCCGACAAGGTTGAAGACTTTCTAGCTGAGATAAATTAGAGCAGTTACGATACTCATTCGAAGGGGCCGATCATTGGCTCACTAGGCCGTTACTCAAGGCTATTGGTGGCCGACCATGCGCACTGATGCTGAAGACTATGTTAAGAGGTGTGAGCGGTGCCAAAAATTCTTTCCATTAACACAACTGCCAACGATGGGGTAGCAGTAAGGAGTCTTGGAAGTGGAGTCTTTTCGGAAGTGAAGGGGTAGAAGAGATGGGTCTTTGAAATCACATTTAATGAAAAGTAAGAAAAAAGTGTGAAGAGGGAGGAAGCTTTATATATTCTTCAGCGGGTCTCATCCGTCATTTCAAAAATAAAATAGGTGTGCCCTTCATGTAGCCAAATTTCGAGGCTCAAAGTTTGTTAAGATTAGCCAAATAAGTGGTCTAGTGATAACTGAGCACACAGGCTACTCGGACTTCTGGCTAGCCAGGTGCTCAAGAGGCAATTGTGGGAGCTGAGTAATTAGAATTACTATTCGCCAAATAAGGTATATCCAAGCCCATCCAAGATAGGCTAAACTTGGCAAGGCCCACTGGGCTCAATCAATTTAGTGCTGAGTAAATCCAAAAGGTGCTCGAAGTGAATTCTAAGTATACGATGCATAGTGTATTTGGGCCGAGTAAGTAAGAGAACTCGGCATACACTTTAAGTGGGCCCAAACTGTCCCTTTCTGAGAGAAGAGTAGGGGGATGGGCTCTGACATGGTAATGATCAAAAGATACATAAAGAAATATCTAGGAAAATGTCTATAAAAAGAGGTGGATGGTGAATGGAAAGGTATGTTCGAATAACTTGCACTTTAAAAAATTCAAGAACTTCTTCCTCTCTTCAAAAGACTAACTTGCTTGTTGGAGTGCTATTTCAAGTACCCCTAATCAGAGTGTTTTTCCCGTTTCAGGCAGCGTAGCAAGAATCTTTCAAAGGCTTGTTTGGAGTGAAGGAGTATCGCAAATCTACCCCTCACAGCTACAAATAATAATAGAACAAAATAATATATTAATTAAGTTATAAAAAGAATTTAGCAAAAAACTTTAAAAACAATCAATTAAAAAATGTAAACAAAATCTGACATATAATATTAGATAAAGACAAGCACATAACTATTGTAAAAGATAAGTAAAAAAAATACTATAGATAATTATCCTTACATTTATAAAGAAAATTCATCATAACTATCGACGTCCACTTTTCAAACACGGAATAAAATTTAAGATTTTTTTGGAATAAAATTTTAACTAAATAAGGTCTTTTACTAGTTTATAGTAATACTTATGGGTTTATATTTTATTTTTGTAATCTTTTCATAAATTAATTATATTTGAATTAAATACTTTAGGAGCTTAACGGATTCCATTGATAGTTTAGAAACTAAATAGATTTTGATTTGTATACTTTGGAGACTTACTAGACTCAATCGATAGTGTAGGAACCGGGCCCAGTCCTGAGATTTTCAGGGCCCAAAGCCGATAATCAACTACTAAATTTCTGGGGGCCTTCACATTTTTTTTTGAATGAAAAAAAAATTAATGTAAATGAGAAAAGATTTGTATTAAAATCACAAAAAATACTTAGCATTACATTATAACAACTAATAAGTATCACTTGATCCTCGCTTTTATTACATTTTTAGAAGCAATAAATCAATCATACTTGCATAATCTAGTTTTTTTGCAAAATCATTTTCAATGGATAACAATGTTAATCCATTCAATCTTTCTTGTGACATGGTTGATCGAAGGTAATTTTTGATGATTTTTAACTTTAAAAAGCTTCTTTCCCCGATGCAACTGTAACCAGAATCATCAAAAGTATCCTATAAGCAACCCATGAATTTAGGAAACAATTTGCCATTAACTGCAGATGATTGAGCATTTCAATTGGTTTATTGACTTCTTTTGGCAAGCTCTCTTTCAAGACTTTTAGCTCCATCAATAAATCTCTTCCATCAATATCAGAAATCTCACCATGTTTTAAAAATTCTTCAAGGTTCACACACCCCGCCTTCAACGATTCATCGCTGCAGTTTTTCAAGTCAAACAAAAAACCGAAGTTTGCCTCATATACTTTGAATTGTTTGAACCTATTTTTGAGTGAACACGGGGCTTGATCTACAAAATAAAGGAAGTAACCAACTCTAAATGATTCTTCAGCCGACTGGGTCACCACTTCGCTAACATCCTCATCAAATTGTTTCTTTCTAGAAATGATGCGCTTTTCAACAAATGTAGATTCAATTCCCAATTCACTTGCCATTTCTTTAGTTTCAACCATAGCCTCCATGAAACCAACTTCTTTATACATTGCAACATACTTAACAAGCCCATCTAGCTGCTTTACAACAACTGCTATATCCATATCTTCACTTTGAAGAAGCTTGCTAATAGAGTTCACATGAAACAACAAATTGTACCAAATTACAATACTAAACAAAAACTCAAAAGTCTCAAGTTCACGAGTTACCAGGGATTTAGCTTCACTTTTTGCAATCGAATCTGTGGTAGGATTGTTGTACAACTCAACTAAAGATACTAAACAAGAACTCAAAAGTCTCAAGCTCATGAGTTACCAAGGATTTAGCTTCACTTTTTGCAATCGAATCTGTGGTAGGATTTTTGTACAAGTCAACTAAAGCGTCTCTTATTTTTTAAGCATTGTATCTTAGTGGTTTAACACTTTCAATGCGACTTTCCCAATGCGTTTGCGACAATGACTTAACCATGAGGCCTTCCTTTATATTATCTTTTAAAATTTCCCAACGTTGAACAGAAGATGAAAACAATACATATATGCATTGTATCACACCAAAAAAAGTTTTTGCTTTAGAGCAAGAGTTGGCCATATCACAAAGAACAAGGTTAAGACTATGACAACCATACGGCGTATATAGAATGCTCTAGGATTTACTTGAAGTATTCTTGTTTGAACACCTTTGTTTTTGCCTTTCATGTTAGAGCCATTGTCATATCCTTGCCCTCTTAAGTCACCAATATCAAGTTGAAGGTTAACTAATGCTTCTTGAAGTTTATCAAAAAGTCCCATCCCCGATTGGAAACCGAATTGATTGATTATATGTTAGTTAAATTGCATTCTATCTGTTTGACTGTATGATTATCTGTTTATGCTTATGTGTTTAAACTGCTAATTGAAGGCCTTATCGGCGGCCGAATCCGAAACCGATTAGTGTTCTATGACCCTCATAATTTATGTGATTTTATAGTACAATTATCTGAAAATTTATTAGGTATGATTAAATTAGATTAAATAAGCTAATTGAAGAGTTGGACTTAATTACCATTTTGCCACTTAAGTGGCCCACTACTTGAGTCATCTTTGATTCTCATTACACTCACATAACACATTTTCATCAGTCCTTGTGTTGCCTCTAACCGACCAAGAAGAGAGTTAGAGAGAGAGAGAAGTGTTCTTGTTGATTTAGCTTGAGAATCTTGAAGAATTGAAGGAGTTTTTGTACATTTGAGCTTCCCTATCCTAAATACAAGACTTAAGGTAGCTCCATTGTCTTCTTGTTCATGTTTTGAGCTGGTTCTTGCATGGTTCATGTCTAGTTGTAGAGCTAAGTCATGAATTGGTCCATTAATGGTGAATTGAAGCTCAATCTTTGCATGCATGTTGCCATTCTTGAGTTTTGAGGTTGTAAGTTCTTGTTTCCTCACATGCATGTCCATAATTTTGTAATGGTCCATGATTTCATCATGTTTTGGAAACAATTAGCTCCTTAGAGCAGCAAATTGAAGCTTTGAATTGGTTTGAATTCATGCATGTTTGCATGTTCTTCATATTCTTGAAAATGGGTTTGAATATGGTTTTAATTGACTCACCTTTGGGGCTTGAATTCATAAATTGAGCTTTGAAACTTGTTATACATTGAATTTAGTTATGTTTTCCAGAATTTGGGCCCAAGAGGTCGAGTTTGGAGTGGTAGAATGCTTGGTTTGAGCTTGGGAGGCAAATCTGGAAATTCCAGATTTGGCTTCCTCGCTCGAGCGAAGGATTCCCCGCTCGAGCGAGCACCTTTGTCCAGGGCTCCGCTCGAGCGACCATCGAGCGACCATCGCGCGCAAAATCGCAGCATCCAGCATTTTTACTGTTTTGCAGACCGCTCGAGCGAAGGATTCCTCGCTCGAGCGAAGCCTTTGATTTTGGACTTACGCTCGAGCGTAGAAAGCCCCGCTCGAGCAAGGCTCCTAGTTTCAGCAAACTTTGCGAAATGTTTTCTAAGTGTATTTTTGCATCCTCATCCCATTCTAGGCATCCTTAGGCCTAGTTTAAGACATTTAGATGAGGATATCGTTGTAGAACACACCAAGGCAAATTAGGGATTAAGTTATGATATTTCCCAACTGTATAGCTTAGTGTGTTCAACCTGTGAACTGTGTAGGGTTGGCAACTGGGGAGACACGCTCTAGCATACTGTAGCCCAGAACTCTGTGCGTAACAATTGTGTAAAGATATGTTCAACTGATTATCTTTTGAATACTGAACTGAACTGTTTACTGAACTGGTATTATTTACTGAATGAATGTATGTCCTTTATTTCTGAACTGTACTGTGGCATCCTTAGTATCTACTGTTTACTGTTACTGTTACTGTTACAGAGATCTCTGTCGGTTCCCTCGTGGAACCACTACTGTTTACTGACTGATGGCCATCATTACTGTTCGGTCTTTTAAGACCTACTGTTACTGTTATGCTAATGGATGTACCACATATGACTGTTTACTGTACTGAACAACTGAAATACTGATTGAATTGAACTGTTTTCATTACCGTAAGGACATTCATTCTAAACCCCTTTACGCATTATGTTATTCACTGGGCTTTAGCTCACTGTTTATATATATATGTAGGTGTTCAAGCACCAGACCGGAGCTAGGAGCGTCAGGGTAACTCCAGTTTTGTCCAGCCAGCCTTTGTGCCTCACCGCGAGGTTCCGAGTTGCCAGGCTATGGCTTGGGGGTGTTTTGTTTGTTTCCCCCGTCTGTCTCCATACTGTTTGGATTACTGTATAGACTGTCAGTTGCTAACTGTACTGTTATCAAGGGATTAGGTCCCTGTACCGTGTGACTGTAAATTCTGTATAGACTGTACTGTTTGTGTATGTATGAATGCATGAAAATCCTTTTTGGCTTACAGACTGTCACAGCTCAATGGACACTATTTATTTACTGTATTGGCTTCCGCCAGGCCCTGTACTCTGTTTTACTGTATTACTGTTAAGCAGGCCTTCGGTAATCTCGGATTACTGGCCGGTTACGGTGCTAAACCCATAGGGCCAGGTTTGGGTCGTGACACTAATGCTTCTTGAAGTTTATCAAAAAGTCTCATCCCTAATGTATCATCCACATTCAAGAATTCCAAAAAAAACTCTTTAACTTTAATTGGACTTGTTGAAACATCCACGCATCGTACAACAAGAGACATTTGTTCTTGATGGCTTATATCCGGTGTACAATCAAGTATGACCGAAAAGTATTTTGCTAGTTTGATTATCGACAAAATTGCACTTTTGACTTCCCCGGCCAACATTTGTATCACCTCATTTTGAATTTTGTGACTCAAATAATGGTAATGAATCTCACCCTTTTCTATCTGTCGCAAGTGTTCTTCCATCGTTGGATCAAAATCGCCAATCATTTCAATTATGCTTAAAAAAAGTCCATTGCTCTCTTCATAAATCTTCTCATGGCTTCCACGAAAAGGAAAATTATTCTTGGCAAGTGTTTTCACAACTGCAATTATCATCAATAAAACCCATCTCAAGTGCTCTATTTCTTTGTTAACTTGTTCTTGTATACTTTTATCTATTGTTTGATGCTTTCCTAATCTTTTCTCCAACTCAGTCCATTTGCTCATGCAAGTAATGTGCTCGTTACCACTTTCATGGCCTTTAAGTCTCTCACCAATATTTCTCCAGTCTTTAAATCCTTCGGTACCCAATTGAGTTTTATTTCCCTCTTGCTTAAACAACTTACAACAAAAGCAAAATACTCTATGCAAAAGTTCTGAGCATATTAGTCATGTCCTATCAAATTTTTCTCCATTTCGTAAATGCTGAATGTAATGAACAGGTGAGAAATGCCTATGCCTAGAAGAATCATCCTTAGGGAAGTTGAACTCACAATTTCTTCTCACAAGACCACTTTCGACTAAAAAATCTCGTAAATTCTGGTCAATTATTTTCCAAGTCCCTGGATCATCTATTTGAATGCTCACATTCCGTATTTATCTCATCATCTTGATTGGCTTCTGCACTCCCAAATTCCCCATTTCCTTCTTCATCCACCAAATTTCCATTCTCATTATTCACCAAAGTTTCAAATTTTTCACTATTCAAGTCTTCAACTGATTGTTCTGTTTGTTTGTCACTCATAAAGAATTTATCAATAGCTCATCTTTGATACTCAACTATTTTTTGACTCTTTGCTTCATTTTCCTTTTTGCGAATCCAGACGGATAATTTCTTTTAAGAGTCATGATGAGCTGAGATCAAAATATTTTTTAAGATCAAAATTCAAAACAAGAGCACCACCACTTAACAAAACACAAAACTTTTAAATTGTGTGATGTGAATTATTAAACTTAAACAAATTCTTCTTGACGATGTAAATACCAATATTATAATAGCAATTAATTGTGCAAAAGACAAGACAAATATTTAATTAATTGAATAGAAAAAAATATATTTACCTGTGCTTGTTATGCTGAGATCAAAATATTTTTTAGATCAAAATTCCAAACAAGAGCACCACCACTTAACAAAACACAAAACTTTTAAATTATGTGATGTGAACTATTAAACTTAAATAAATTCTTCTTGATGATGTAAATACCAATATTATAATAGCAATTAATTGTGCAAAAGACAAGATAAATATTTAATTAATTGAATAGAAAAAAAAATTTACCTGTGCTTGCTGCTGCTGCTCCGTCCGTGTGTTGCTGCTTCATTGCTTTGCTTTGTTGGCTTGGGCTGCTGGTGTGTGCCATCAAACAAATGTAAGGAAGGTTGGATTAAGAGAAGATAGGGTTAGGAATTAGAAAAAATGGGCCTTTCAAACTGTTGGGTTGGGCCTTAACTGTTGGCCTTTAATAGGTCAAAAAAATTAAGTTAGTTAGGGCCTTTTTTTAATTTTTTTTGGATCTAAGGCATACATAATATATTATACTAACTTATAATAGGAGGGACCCCTATTTTGGGCCTATTTTGAGGGGGCCTAAGCCATGGCCTTGTGGACCTATGGCCAGGGCCAGACCTGGTAGGAACTAAATAGACAATTTAATGATAATTTAAGAATATAAAATGTAATAAACCCTTTTAGTAAAGGGATTGTTCTATGTTTTTATTTATTTATTTATTATTATTATTATTATTTTAATACTCCTTGGTTTGGCTGTTAACCATTCCTGCCCGCACCCGCATTTAAAAACAAGAAAATTTTATGTAGACGCTATTAATTCTCTTAGTATACACTATTAACAGATTAAATTTATATTTTAATAATATTCTCAAATAAAAAGACCATTAAAAATAATATAGGGATGTATTCTATCTATTCAAAGATTTCATATATAAAAATACAAAACACTTTTCACACATTATCATCACCTATAGACATAACACATCCAAAATAAATTGGTTTTGAAGATTTAGAATTAAAGAACACTAAAATTAATTGGTTTAAGGGTTTAAGAACATTGAAATCAATTAGTTTTAAAGATTTGCATACCGTGGACAACATTGAGATTGTTGATTTCGAACAATGCAACAATGAAAAGGTCAATTTAATACTTAGCTTTCTGATTTTTTGTTCATCTCGTATAATTGTTGAAAAGATGACTTTGTTCGTCATGTGTTTAGATAACCAGAATTCAACTTTTACACAATATTCGATTATTTTTGTTTGTTCAAATTATTAAAGTAGACCAAATTATAAATGTTCATACATGAAAAAATGAACATTTTAATTCTTTAAGAATTTCATTTCTCAAATTTAATTCACTTCAATAATTTAAAATATTTTTGGTAAATTTTCTTTTCTTTTTTACAAAAAGTAGATGTATTCAATATTTAAAACACAAAAAAAGAAAAAAGAAAAAAAGTAGCATATAAAATTTAATATATGTTCAATATAATAAGTCTGAACAAATTGATATTGTTCAACATATAAAGTATGAACGTATATAATTTATTCAATATAAATATCTTAAACATATTAAATTTGTTCAATTTTATTTTTTATTTATTTATTTTTTGTACGATGATATTATGTTCAAACAAACAGAATTGGGCCAATCTCGAAATAGAAATTACTATGCTAGTTGAATTGGTAACCAAATCAAAAGAAGATAGGAAAAACATATTAAGGTAAGAATCAAAGGTGTGAATCAAGAGTGAGACTGACAAATCTTCAACACAGTGTAAAAAATTTGACGGTTGTTGAGCTGAGTGGCCGGCCGGCCATTTCTTTTTTTAAAAACCTGGCCGGTGGCCTCCCCTTTGCAATAAATCTGGCCGGCCGGCTCCCAAAAGTAGCCGGCCACACTCCAATGTGTGTCTTTAGCCCTATTTTACCCTCCAAGAGAAAGTTTCAAGCATTTTCATGCAACGGGTGTGTCGAAGGCCTCTATTTCCCTCTGTTTCGAATGCGTTCTGTTGCCCAGATCGTCCGAAGTACACTTTGTTTTGTTAAGTTTTGTTTATCGAGTTGTTGTTTTGTTTATCGAGTTGTCGTTTTGCTTATCGAGTTGTTTGTCGAGCTGTCGTGTTTCGTGTTTTTGAGTTGTTACTATTTGTTTAAGAAATTTTTGTTTGAGTCTTGTTTATTGAGTTGTCAACACTATTGTGTTTTGCTCATCGAGTTGTAAACTTGCTAAGGTTTTGTTATATCTTAAAAAGTTAAGTTGTTGCGTCGGTTCACTACCTGTCTGGGCAAAATGCATAATGCACATTTCCATTCAATCTCATTATGGTGCAAAATGATGCGATATGATGCTAAGAGTTTAAAATACAACACTTTTTTTCAAAGGCTGTTTCATTCCATCATGCCTCGCTTGTTACAACATTTTACAGACTAAGGCACAAGTTTTACAAAGAATAAAACTGCCCAATAATGTACAATGTGCTACAACTACTAGCAAAAAGATAAATAAAACGGGAAACAGCCGCATCTGTGCTCTCAAGAGTAGGAATAAGAGGCCCTCTTCGCCCTCTTCTGCGGAATAGACTCTCCGCCACCATCGCCATCATCATCATCTGAATCGGAGTCATCATCCTCGGGATCCCCCTCAGCCTCGCCTCCACTCCCAGAACCAAGACCGGAGCCGTCCTCTCTGTCAGCAGATGTCTCCGATTGACGATCTGCAGCCTCCTCCTCCTCATCCTCATCGGGCTCCTTCTCTACAATGTGTGCTCTGCGTCTACGAGACGAGCCCCCCTCCAGCTCCTCGAAAAGCCCTGGATGGCTTAGCTCCTCGAAAAGGCCTGGATGGCCTAGCTCCTCGAAAAGGCCTGGATGGCCCAGCTCCTCGAAAAGGCCTAGATGGCCCAGCTCCTCAAAAAGGCCCGGATGGTCCACCTCCCCGAGAAGGCCCAGGTGGCCCAGCCTGCGGCTGAGCATGTACCGGGGGCATCTGAGAATAAAGAGTTCAATTTAAATATATCAGTCCAAATATGTACATCAGATACAGATACAAGAAAACTACATGAAGTGCAGATACGTAAACACAGTGTATAAGTGAGGTGTGTGTCAGATGTGCTCTACACAAGTAGCCTATCAATGCAGTAGAAATCAGCATATCATCAGAAGTATGATAAATGTCAGAAAACTAAAGAATACCTGGAAACCCATGACGGACAGCTGCGCCTCTCTCCGCAAGACCATGCCCTCAAGTGAGGCCACCAATCCGATCACCCCCTTCATGTACTCTCTGGGTGGCTGCAGATACGAGCTCATAATCATCAGTGAATAATGGAATGTCTAAACTGTGCAAAAAGTTATGCCCTTTTTCGTGAAGCCGCGCAGATTCGATCCAACCGGGATGATGCCCGACTTCAACTGACCATATCTCCCCCACCCGGACTTGGGTCTAGGAGATTCTTGAGTGTAAAATGAAGCCCCAGAAGTAAGCTTTCCGACGGTGGTGGCCCCATAGCTAAACTCCAAGCGTACAGACAGATAAGCCCGATTCAGCGAGGGCTACTCGACTCGCTTCTACCCGGATTCATGCCGAACTTCTCCCAAATTAGTTTTCTCCTCTCCTTTCCTCTTTTCTTCAACTCCAAAACCCTAAACAAAGTGTTTTGAATGATTTGCCTCTCTTCTAGCCGAAGAAACTGATTCTTTGCCCTGCACATCTCTCAACACCGAGCAAACCATCAGTAGTGCCCAAGTCTTAAGGGCGGTCAAAAATGGGGTGTCTACACCCGAGCCCGGGCCTGGCTCAAAGATGGCATGCCAGCAGTCCTCATCGTTGGAGTACGAACTCCCGTCAATGGAGGCATCAGGTATATGTGATGGTAAGTAGCGTAATCCCCCTCCTCAAGATGTAGCAAAGCATCAGTACCCAGCATAGCACTAACAACATCCCGGGAAAAGAGCCTATCAGCAATCCGCATATCGACTGGGGGTGCTGAGGGAGGTCCTGAGAAGTGTACCCCTAGACCTAACGCAAGAAGCGGTCCCCCAAAAACCAGGCCCTACCAACTGGCCCTTCGAACAAGATCTTGTACCGGGAGACACCCCACCCTCCGGCAAACTAGAATCGGAGACCTTCACCTAAAGGCGCCCAGGGCTGCCATGTAATCTACGGATAACAGACGCATAAACCAAGCAGAAATCGAAAATGTACAGGACAAATCAAAGATGAAAACAGAAAGAACTGAGAGTTCTGAAATACCTCCGTCGACCGCACCGTGTCGAAGTACTGCCGCAGATAAAGGAGAGACTCCTGAGGTCTTGGCCGGTGCTAGCCTTCAAATACAAGTGAGTACGGGGTCACAAGAGGTCCCTCTACCACCAACTCTTGGGCCAATGTCGGGAAATACACATAGACCCACAACTTTGGAAAACAAAGCAGAATACGAAGTGCTGAGGGCAAAGTGCACGATACAGAGTATAAAGTGCGCCGTGTGTGCAATGTGCAAGTAACAGTCCACTTTAAGTGGGCCCAAGCTGTCCCTTTCCGGGAGAACATTAGGGGGATGGTTTCTGACATAGTAATGATCCAAAGCTACAGAAAGAAATATCTAGGAAAATGTCTATAAAAGGAGGTGGATGGTGAATGGAAAGGTATGTTCGAATAACTTTCACTTTACATAATTTAATGACTTCTTCCTCTCTTCAAAAGACTAACTTGCTTGTTGGAGTGCTATTTCAAGTATCCCTGATCAGAGTGTTTTTCTCGTTTCAGGCAGCGTAGCAAGAATCTTTCAAAGGCTTGTTTGGAGTAAAGGAGTATCGCAAATCTACCTCTCACAGCTACAAATAATAATAGAACAAAATAATATATTAATTAAGTTATAAAAAGAATTTAGCAAAAAACTTTAAAAACAATCAATTAAAAAATGTAAACAAAATCTGACATATAATATTAGATAAAGACAAGCACATAACTATTGTAAAAGATAAGTAAAAAAAATACTATAGATAATTATCCTTACATTTATAAAGAAAATTCATCATAACTATCGACGTCCACTTTTCAAACACGGAATAAAATTTAAGATTTTTTTGGAATAAAATTTTAACTAAATAAGGTCTTTTACTAGTTTATAGTAATACTTATAGGTTTATATTTTATTTTTGTAATCTTTTCATAAATTAATTATATTTGAATTAAATACTTTAGGAGCTTAATGGATTCAATTGATAGTTTAGAAACTAAATAGATTTTGATTTGTAGACTTTGGAGACTTACTAGACTCAATCGATAGTGTAGGAACCAAGCCC